GCATTCAACATCACGATGGTGATGATATTATGAGAAGCACAGGATCTTCAGCACCTAGGAGACAAGGTTACGCCATTACCCACATCACTATCCAAACTCCTGTGACTCGCATTCAACCTCACGATGGTGATTAAATTCTCCGATGCACCGAGCCTTCAGCACCCAGGCTTCAAGGTTACACCGCCATCACATACATCACTATCCAAACTGCTCCAGCTCGCATTCAACATCACGATGGTGATGATATTATGAGAAGCACAGGATCTTCAGCACCTAGGAGACAAGGTTACGCCATTACCCACATCACTATCACAACTGCTCGAGCTCGCATTTAACCTCACGATGCTGATGATATTATGAGAAGCACAGGGTCTTCAGCACCAACGTATCAAGGTTACAGCGCTATTACCCACAGCTCTTTCGTCTTTGTTGTAGCTACTCGTCATGTTGATTTAGACTCTGACAAACAGCTCTATTTTGCAACTGCTACGGGCACTCTCAACACTCTCGCATCTGTTCTCTGGTACCGAAATACTACTTTGATTTGTTGATTCATTTACCGTCCTCTAATTTCTACTCACCATTTTATAATAGATTATAAAATCACTCGGGATCTTCCGTTTTCCATGTTTGCATGTGATTTTCATCGGTTTAACATATTTGTCACGTGATTTCCATCTGTTGAAATCCTCTAGATAACACTGGTTAATCCAAATCATTTTGTAAAATATTTGATAATAATCTACTTTATTCACTTACGAAACGAAGATTTAAATCCAATGTTTGCTCCTCTCTAAGAAAAATGAGAATACGTAAAGGCAAACATTTTCAAACTACGAATTTATTGCATACACATAGAATACAAAGATAATCTTTTTAGTAAAGTATGGAAGCTTGAACTTGCGGTTGGGCTTCAATTATCCTTTTGAATCAGGACTTCTCGTTTCTCATAGGCCTTCACATCACTCAATGCAAAAGAATACCTCTTGACACCAAAGCCGACTGTTAAGGATATTTCTTCGTGTCAATTTTCATATTATCGGCAAATTAAACTGCAATAGAAAATATTGCTAGATAAACTTAATGAGAGATAAGAATACTAAACGCCACCAAACACAAGCAAACCCACCATCTCCTTCTAACCTATTTCGAATGACCCTACTACTCCATTTTTATCGCTGATATAAACAAATTGTTAATTTGGCTTAGTATTTATTTCAAACATTTTTGCTCGCGTTCCAACTTTCTAAATTGATTTTTTTATTTTTTAATGCGTATTGTTTAGTAATTATTTTTTAACGATTGAGTTGAGTTTGGCTTATTTTTTTCTCTTTACTATTGTTTTAAACTTTTTGCCTTAGCACATCAAATGGCAGTTTCAATGTTTGACTTTTATGCTTCTTTTCATTCTTGGACCTGAAAAATTTTTCTTCTTTGCCTGTATTTTGCAATAAAAATTATCATCATTTGTTTATAATTTCCATCTTCATTCGTCTTTTTATATTGTGCTCTTGCCTTTGGTCTTCTAAAGCCCTTTCACTCATAATGCATATTTTTCTCTCAAAATCCTAAATCAGTTGACTAATCCTCACAGTTTATAATTCGTGAACATATTTTTCTCTTTTGTCATATCAGGTTGTTTTTCTCCACTCTCATGTTTAGAATGAAAATGCTTTTCTCGATCCACATCAGTAATATTTTGATTAATGCTATCTTTCTAATATATTTACATGAAAAAATTTCTACCAGTAAATGAAACTCTCCTTTTACTAAAACTTACACTTACAGCATAATACTTCACAAATTAGTGCCTTTAATCTATCAAATATTCGATAACCAAATAAACTTGACTATTTTGTTTTGTTTCTTTTCCACTGGCAATTGTTCCAATTTAATAGTTGTTATTTGACTTTTACTACCTTAACATTCTTTTACTCCAATTTACTTGCATGATTTGATGCTTGTGGAAACTTATTACCTCTTAAAATAGACTTTCTTTTTCCTTTATAGCTGGGCTATAGCTAAGCTGGTTCTGGGAGTCTAGCTAGATGTAGGAGGATCTGCCACAGAGATTTCCGAGTCAGCCAGGCTTTAATAAATTGGCAATCCGCCACGAATCGTTTCGAACGATTAAATGAGAACTCGATTTTCTTTTAAATTGTAGCTGAGAGCAACTCTAACCATTTTTCTGATAATAAAATTAAATTTTCTCTAAAACCTGCTTCCATTTATGCAGAGTGCCCTCTCTTTTCGAATATTTAATTGTTTGGCTTCCCACTGTGCCTTATCTTTTATTATGTCAATAAGAAATATCTGTAAATTTCTTATTTCTAATCATGTTCACACACCCACATTTTAAATTGACAACTATCTTGAGTGTACACAATCAGTATAGGCATAAAATTACAGCTTTCTAATTTGATCCACTGAATAGTTTTGAGAGCACTTTTCAGACTGATATAAATCCCCGATACCTCAATGGGTTTATCGTGACTGATCGTTTATTACGCTACATTAGGATTTTTGAAGTAGCTTTCACTAGTGGTTCTTTCACAGTTAATTCTGCATGCACTCTAGAAGTAAGAAGCAACGTAATCGAAAGATACCTTTTAACTTCTCTTTCAGAGTTCTTACTTAACTTTTGGTGGATATCAGAAAATTGAAATGCTTTAAATTTCTAACGCTATGACTATGGCCATTGTTTTAACCTGCCAAAGTTCTAACATTTCGCTTGAATTAATTTCAGAGTATATAGTGCCTCCTATTCTTCTTTGTCCATTGTGCTTATGTTGGCTCCAGGCCTATGCTCTCCAAGAGAGCATAATTTTAGGGATGTTGAGCAGATTCATGTACTAAATAGTGCATGTGAAGCTTCATTTAAAGTGCACGAAAAAGTCGCA